CTGGTTAAAACCTTACTTCTACACCATCATTTTCTGCTCTCTTTTACTGCAAAAATTCATGTGCAGTTAATGGTTCAGGTCAAAAACCCTGGAGTCATCCTTGACTCCTCTTTTTTTTATGTCCCAAATCCATTCATTTGGAAATCCCCTTAGCTCTGTCTTCAAATATATCTGACAATTTCTCATCACCTCCATTGCTACCACTGGGTTCCAGCCATCATAATCTTTTGCCTGAATTATTGCAGTAGCATCCTAAGTGGTCTCCCTGGTTGATCTCCTATAATTGATTGTCTCAAAGCAGTCAGGATAATATAAATCAGATCATTCCTCTTCTCAAAACCCTCCAGTGGATTCCCATCTCTCTCAGTAAAATCAAGTTTTACCTGGGCCTGCCAGAACATGGCATGCATTTCTACCATCTCACCACCTTCTGATCTTGTTACTGAGTCCAAGATCGTACCGCTCGCCGCTACATGTCAGGCCAGTAAGTCGAGAGAGGAGTTGTTGTGGCAAGGAATAGCAACTTTATTCAGAAAGACAGCAGACCAAGAAGATGGTGGACTAGTGTCCCAAAGAACCATCTTACCCATTAGAATTTGGGCTTCTTTTATACTAAAAGGGGAGGCAGGTAGCTGGTTGTTGCATACTTCTTGATGCAGGAATCCTTTGTTCTTGCAGCTGTCCACAGAGGTCTGGTTACACTGTTCCTATAAATTTCCAACAAGATAATTGCTATTTTCTATTCTGCAACTTTTTTTTTTAATTTTTGGCTGCGTTGGGTCTTTTTTGCTGCGCGTGGGCTTTCTCTAGTTGTGGCAAGCGGGAGCTACTCTTCGTTGTGGTGCATGGGCCTCTCATTGCAGTGGCTTCTCTTGTTGCAGAGCATGGGCCCTAGGCGCACGGGCTTCAGTAGTTGTGGCACATGGGCTCAGTAGTTGTGGCTTGCGGGTTCTAGAGCACAGTCTCAGTAGTTGTGGTGCACGGGCTTAGTTGCTCCGCAGCACGTGGGATCTTCCCCGACCAGGGCTCGAACCCGTGTCCCCTGCCCTGGCAGGCGGATTCTTAACCACTGCGCCACCAGGGAAGTCATATTCTGCAACTTTTTAAAGGTCAAAGCCTTAAGAATGGGCTATCCTGTATACTTCAGGCTATAGGCAACATTCTTTTACAAAGGTGCAGAGCCAGCCTGACTAAGCACAGGCCACAGAGCACAAGAGTTAGCACTAAAGGAATAGATCCAGTATGGAGTCAGGCTTGTTCTTCTGTTACAATCTCATCTACCTCTGCTCCTCACGCTGTAGCCACATTCGCTTTCTTTTTGTTCCTTGAACATAATCCCATCCCCACCTCTGGACCTTTGGATTTGCTGTTTCCTCATTGATCTGAAAAGGGTACTGCTTTTGAGAAATCAGTGTATTGGGGAAAGGAACACAGAATCAGGAGAACAAAACAGACCAGCCTCTCACCTGTTTTCCCATGCCGATTCACTTTTCCTCTGGTTACCTCTTGGTTCAGGGGCTTGATCCTATCTGAAATGACCTCTTTACACTGGCCACCTACCCAAATCTTCTCCACCTTGAAGGTTCAGTTCCAGCCCAGGCTCCCTCTACATCCATGTCCATACCATCCCTGGCCCTTGCCATCCAAAGACTATTTTCCAAAACTCATCAGAGATTACCAGGGGCAGCCTGGTTCTGGGTAAGTTCTCTTAAGTTGTGAGCGCTGGTCTTCTAGACTTGATGCTAAATTCTTTTAAGATGGTTCTCAACTTTGGTTGCATATTGGAATCACCCAGGAGCTTTAAGAAATGTTGTTGCCTGAGTCCCATCCCTGAGATTCTGATTTAATGGGCCCGGGTGTGCGGCCGGGACATCAGGATGTTTTAAAACCCCCTCAGGTGATTCTACTGTGCATCCATTTTGAGAACCATCAACTTTCCTACCCTTAGGACTGTCTCGTATATTCTCTCGGTAGTCTGAATTATTATGGATTCTCGATTAGTTTATAAAATAAAGAGAACCTGCTAATGCTCGTCAAAGGCTAATCACAGCGATCAGTCCCCCCACCTGCTTTCTGTAATTTTCCACTACTCTGACTCTGCTCAAGCCCCCGCTTGTCTCCCCTCCCACTTCTTCATTTTCCCTTTAAAATTCCAGTCACCTTTGTACAGAGCCTGCCTGAATTCAGTTCTATACTGAGGGCTCTCCCCTAACTACAGGAGTTACCGAGTAAAATTTGTCTACACTGCCTTTAACTAGTGTTTGGCTTTTCTTTAACCATCTCCATTTAACAAGATCCTTAGGTGATTTGCATGTATATGAAAGTTGGAGAAGCACTATTTAATAATATTTATCATTCCCTAAATGACTTCTAATAAACAGCCCTCAATTATAGACAGGAATTATTATGCCCATTCTACCTTTGAGAGATTAGGGTCAGAGCTTTGCTCAAAGTCACACAGTTAAACTAGAGCTTGAACCCACCTCAGAACTCAGTCTGCTGCTCTTTCCGTAATGCCACGCTAACTGGGGAGAGAAGTCACAATGCGCGTAAAGACCCAGGAGTAAAACAGCTGGTGAAGGGGATCACAGTAAGGTTCCTCTCTAAACATCCATTGCAGCAATGCCCTTGCAGCCTCTGCTCTTCTTTGCCTGCAGGAGAACTGTTTCAGAATCAAGTGTCTTCTAGGCACCAAAGAATTCTCATCTGGGGGCTTACCTGGTGGCTCAGTGGTTAAGAATCTGCCTGCTAATGCAGGGGACATGGGTTCAAGCCCTGGTCCGGGAAGATCCCACATGCCGCAGAGCAACTAAGCCCGTGCGCCACAACTACTGAGCCTGCGCTCTAGAGCCCATGTGTCACAACTACTGAGCCTGCGTGCCTAGAGCCCGTGCTCTGCAACAAGAGAAGCCACCGCAATGAGAAGCCCACGCACTGCAACGAAGAGTAGCCCCTGCTCGCCGCAACTAGAGAAAACCCGTGTGCAGCAACAAAGACCAAACACAGCCAAAAAATAAATAAATTAATTAATTAAAAAGAATTCTCATCTGGGTTATCCTATCAACAGCTGGAGTCCCAGAGATCACAGCTCCTGGGGGCTGAGTCACTGTATTGACTCTCTTCAAGTACTAAAGAGTGCTGCCTCAACGTCTGCAGGAGCCCAGAACTTCAGGGGCCCCTGCATATACCACATAGCCGCCACCACATGAAGTCAGACCCAGTCCTGGTCTTAGTCCTGAACTAGCTGCTCCTACTCACTGTACACTCAGTGTCGACACGCCTGCCTTCCCAGCTTTACCTCCAACCTCAGTCTTCATCCTTGCTTTCCTGGATAAACACTGACTCCCCTCCTCCTGGCTGCTTTGGTTGCTTGGGTAAATACAATAGTTTCCCCTTATCTGTGGTTTTGCTTTCCACCCTTTCAGTTTCCCACAATCAACTGCCCTCTGAAAACATTACATGGCAAATTCCAGAAAAAAACAATTTATAAGTTTTAAATCACACACCATTCTGAGTAGCATGATAAAATCTCGTGCTGTCCCACTCTGTCCTGCCTGGGATCCCCAGCCATCAACATCGTCTGCTGCTGACATCCAACCACTGACATTGTCATGGCTTAGTAATCCAGGATCACCTGAAGCAGACAATCCTCCCTCTGACTTAGTGTCAAAAGGTCAGTAGTAGTCTAACCCTACATCACAATGCCTACATCATTCACCCTGCTTCATCTCAGCACGTAATCATCTCACAGCATCACAAGGAGGATAAGTATGATAGATGTCTTGAAAGAGACCACAGCCACATAACTTTTCTCACAGCATAGTGTTATAATTATTCTATTTTATTATTATTGTTAATCTCTTATTGTATCTAATTTATAAATTAAAATAATAGGTATGTATGTATAGGAAAAAACACAGTAGGCATTAGTGTTCAATAACTTCCATGGTTTCAGGCATCCACAGGGAGTCTTGGAACATATACATATGAGGGGACCACTGTACTCCTCTTCTCTGGACTCCCATACCCGCCTTCCTACTCCTGGGCCAATTTGGTGCCTTGAGCAGACTCCCTAGAGCAGAGCTCCCTTCAGGCTCTTGCTGACCTCATACTTACTCACATGACAAAATTTCAAAGACAACAAACCAATGAACTAAGTTACATTTCATCTTCTCTGTCCTTTTTCCTCCTCAGTCACCAAATTAGGCTAGAAAACCATCAATAGGAAAGCAGCTACCAGTTTTAAATGCCAAGTCATTCCTCTAGGAAAGTCAGCAAAATCACTAACATGAATGACGGGATGAACTTTTCTGGGCATTTGGAAACCTCTTAGATCATTAGAACTAGAGGAACTCCTCCCCCGACCCTACCCCATACACATGCAGAATACTGATTTTTCATGTTCAGTGTCTTTGGCACCACTGATTTAATAAATTCAGCCGTTATTACGGTAAATATTTTTATTGTTAGTTTTGTCAGAAACATTTGTATATATGGGCAATCTGATGCCTAATTTTATTAGAGCCTAATTTTATTGATCATCTCTTCTAGAAAATCAAATCTCCAAGATTAGAATGGAAGACAATGAAAAAACAGATTTCCCTTTATAGTTTACCTTTATCAAGCCATCCAAAGCACATCAGTTCTTTTATACGAGTATTACTTTAACATAATATAATAAATCATAACAAACCAATGAACTAAGTTACATTTCATCTTCTCTGTCCGTTTTCCTCCTCAGTCACCAAATTAGGCTAGAAAACCATCAATAGGAAAGCAGCTACCAATTTTAAATGCCAAGGCATTCCTCTAGGAAAGACAGCAAAATCACTAACATGAATGAATCACTAACATGAATCATTCGTTGAAAACACAAGCCAGAACCTTATACCGTTAATCTTCAAGTCAATCACCAACTTTTCTTAGATTTTTAAAGACATGAAAATGAAAATCATTTCAAATAACAGCACTCAAACACCATATATGTTTGTAATGAGGTGTAGCAGTCAACTTTAAGCCTCAGATTTTCCAGGTTTTAGCTGAAATAAGCCTTATTAATTAGCTTTTTAGATTGTTATCAGTCTTGTTTGGGGGTTATTTTGCCTTATTAGGCCTAAACAGAGTACAATATTAAAATATGTTAATTGTCTATACTGAGACTATGGCATAAATGGGTTTCTAACTCCTTAGGGACAGCAGTGGAAACACAACACATCCCATGAACACAGGTGAGAGCCCTAGTTATCCCTGAGCTGGGCAGTTTCACACAATCATTTCTTCTCTGAGGCTGAAGTCTGTGGTTTGATCTTCCTAGCAGCTTCCAGAACAGAAACTAGGTTTACTTTGTCTCCAAATTCTTTTTCTCGGTGCTCCAGAAGAATGCCCTGAAAGGAAACGAGAGGGTACATCAGTCCTCACTCTGAGTCATTCATTCATGAGACAGACACTGAGCGCCAGCTGTCCATCAAGGCCCTTGCTACGGCAGCAAGGAACAGAGATCCGAATCGGCCCCGGCTCTGCCTGTGAAGAGTTCAGTCTTTTGGGGAAGGTAGATCAGGGGAGGCTCCCTCGCAATATTTGGACTGTACAAGCAGCACTTTGGGAGCCGGAAGTCAGGAGTGATTAATATAACAGGGCGATCAAAGAAGGCTTCACAGGTGATAGAGCATGTCTACAGGTAGAGATGCACGTAAAAGAACATTCCAGGCAGAAAGAACAGAATGAGCTTGCACAGAAAAGCCTGGAGTTGTGGAAGTAGAGCTCAGAGGTCAGACCTTGACAGGCACTAAGCGAACACCTGAAAAGGGAGACGCTATCTTTAGTTTTCCTACGAAACTGGAGGCCACTCACTTCTGATACCATGAAGCAAAATGCACTAACTAAGACATACTACACCCCAAAATACCCTAAAGCTGTAAAAAAAAGATAAAATGTGTTTGAGATCAGCATCAAGAATCCTTGTTAAAGGGTTCTTTGATAGGTGACAGATTAAACTCAAACTGAATTTAAAAAACAAACATTTATAAACATGTTCTTTGTATCATTATTTATAAAGACTTTAAAAAGAAAAGTGCCACCACTGTGGTGACTACAGAGAAGCAGGTCAGGAAAGTATATTTACTCGCTCATTAGCGCGGTTTGCAGACGTTAAAAACACTGAGGAAGAACATATGATGACATGGGGAAATGTTCATGACACGCTGTTAAATGAAAAAAGAACATCTAGTTTAGTAAGGTACCGTTTTCTAAAAAAAAAACAAAAGGTCTGTCAGCTCAGCTCTGTCCTAAGAGGTTGTCCCTGGCAGCTGAGCTTATAGAATGGCTCTCCCCACCTTCTCCGTTTCCAGATTTCCTATGTTGAAACACTGCTGCTTTAAAGTTAAGTATGCTTTAAAGATTATTATGACAAAGGAAATCCCTACTGAGTGGCACCTGGCACAGTGGGACTGCAAAAACTCTGCTCTGAAGAAACACGGAGGTAAGCCCTGAGGCCAGGCCAGCCTGGTCAGCCTTCCACCAGGAAGGAGGAAGACAGGAGCTCCGGGGAGCACCAGCAAAGTCAAACAACACCCCAGGAGCGAGCCAGCCAGGCTTGGGCAGCCCATGAGCACCAGGTGAGTCACTGCCAGGCAAGAGGAGGCTGGCAGGTGAGCCAAGCCCTTCCCTGGGGGCTGAGGAAAGGCAGAGATAGGAAGGGGAAGGAATCCCAGGGGCCCGGAGTGGGAAGAGGCTGAGGGATCCTGAGGAAGTGGCCTGCCCAAGTGCAAGGGTACCTGGAAGGGGTCTTTGGGAACCACCTCCAAAGAGGGGCTATGGGCAAGGGAAGGACAGGGTCTCTGGAGCAGGACAGATCGGAGTTCCTGAGTTTCATTCCCTTTGCACCACATACTAGCCCCATATCTTTGGCTGAGTTATTTCATAGGCCCATTTCCTTACATGTGGATAGGAATAAAAATACCGACCATCCCAGACTGGTTGCAGAGAAGACAGGAGATCACATATATGAGCACCTGGCACAAGGCAGGCACTCACTGGCAGCTGTTATCACTAAGACATTTTGATACATTACCAGAAAGTTAGCAAACAGGTTTATGTTACATCAGACACCAATTCATGCTAGATTCTCACAGACAAGCAACTGCAGATACCAAGGTTTAAAAGGAAGAGATTCGAAATACAGCTTAAAATTGAAGGCATTCTAGTCCCACTAGCTTTCCTCCCCAACTGGGGAAAGTATGCAGTTATCATTGTCAGTGGTGAGTTCCACCATGCATACCAACCCTGTCTTCTTTTTTCTTTTTTGGCCGCACCATGCGGCTTTTGGGATCTTAGTTCCCTGACCAGGGATCGAACCCGTGCCCCCTGCAGTGGAAGCACCGAGTCCTAACCACTGGACCGCCAGGGAATTCCAACCCTGTCTTTTTACAGACAAGCTCAAATGTTAATGTCATGCCCGAAGTTGGTGAGACGGGCCTAGAAATCAGACCACTCGGTCTTCCTGCCAGGCCTTGAGCCTGCACTCACTGTACCCTGTCCTTTCTCTGTGCCCACCTGGCCTCTGCTGGCACTGCCCTGAGTCTGACGTGGAGCATCCACCCACCCGCCTCCTGAGCCCACAGAGAACTCATCTCTCCACACCTTCCCTTAAGCCCCCGTGCTGACTCTGGATTCCCCACAGCCAGGGCCTGAAATAGAGTGTGCAGAGAAGTCTGCTGCCCCTCCAGAGACAGCCAGGGCACCAGGACCCCCGCAGGGAAAGCACCACCCAGCACAGCTCCCTGCTGCTCCCCCAACGAGGTCTCTTTCCATTCCTCCTCTCTTCAGTTTTCTCTACTGTCCATCCTCGATGACAGGGAACACTGCAAGGGAGTACATTCTTCACAGAATAAAGACTCTGCTTTTGTTGTAGTGTAGAAAACAGAACTTGACATCAGGAAACCCGGGTCCAGGCTCCTGAAGTGCCACTGAGGAGCCGTCCTCCTTGGTGCGGTCACTCACCCCCTCACGAGTTATTTACCCACAAGACTCAGACTATGTCGTGTTGTTACTGTGCCAAGGGAGGGGGTCATGTGTGAGGTGCCGAGAGAGCAGGCGTGCAATAAACGGTCATTTCCCTCCCTTCCCCTCCCGCATGCTCCCTGGCTTTCTGGAAGGAAGGCTGGGAGACTCTGAGCAGGGGAAGCCACCCTCCCGCCCGACACATCGGGGTCTCATGCTCACAGACCCACGAGTGAACACGCTAGCGATTTACCTGCTTTCCTGGTCCCACCACAAAAACTCCCCCAAGGATGAAGCCCTCGCCTTCCAGGTTTCCAGAAAAGCCTCCACTCCGGGCCCGGAAGAAGCTGTACCAGACGCCCAGACGGACAAATCCCATGAGCACCATCTTCCGCCTTTCCGGACCATAGAACTCCTTCTGTAGGAGCGAGGAAGACAGACCCCCACGTGAGCAGCGCATGCGCCTGTCCTCCTCCACCCGACGCGCAGCTGCCACCCAGGAGCGCTCTCAACTGCCCGAGCTAAACACAGCCCTGCGGCCTGCCACCCTGACTCTAATCTCTTGCTATGGACGTACAGGGTTCTTGGGTGGGCCTGACAGAGTGATAACAGTCCTACATTCTGCAGAGGTTAGTAGAGGGGAAAGAACTATGGCTGCAATGAACTAAGGGGCAGGGCCTTGTGCTGGGCAAACCCCTGCAGCTCAGGGAAACCGGTGGAGCTTTCAGCTATTTCCAAGGCTCCCATTCCCGGGTCACAAGTCAGGAAGGGCTCAAGTAATAACTGAAGGACAGCTCTTAAGTTTTTTTCACTCATGCTCTGCTCAGAGGGCTGGGGGCAGCTGAAAGGGAGGCCCACTCCAACTCCTGTCCAGACATGCTTTGGGCCACCGAACTCTCCACGCACGAGCGCAATCCCCAGCGGTCTGTGTCCGACAGGCTCACAGCACACGTACCTTTTCATCCAGGAAGATTTCTCCTTTGAAATAAGGCTGGAAGTCCTTCACTTCAGTCTTGACGTGCTCCTTTACCACTGCGTAGAGGGGGATGCCCAGCTCGTCCAACTTGGGCTTCAGGGAGGACAGGCCTGCAGCCTCCTGCAGAAGACAGGAAAGGTCAGGGGCATGAACTCTCGGGGCTCTGCAGCCAACCAACACCCTCTTTCCTACAGGCCCAGAGCGTGGCTGGCACCGAATGCAGAAGAACAAAGGCAACAAAATGCCAAGAACAATTAAGGCCTGTGTAGACCAGCAAAAGACTGTCCCAGCTGGGCACGAGGCCTCAGGATAGAGTGTCAGGTCCTCTCCTCAGCCCAGGTTCCTGTCCTGTCCATGGAGGGAAGGAGAGGCTAGGCTCCTGTTATGGGTGTCCTAACCATGGCCTGGGGAGCATCCAATAACTAAGAGCTTGCACCCAAACTCAGTCCTCCACTCCTAGCCACACTGCTGCTCTCCTAATCTCCCAGCCCCTCCACTGCACTAGAGCAAACTAGCACAAGGGCCTAGCAGTCGATCTCCATGTGAATAGCTGCCTCCACACCTCTGCTCAGCTGGCCCCCTCTCATTGCAATAACCTTCCTTCCTTCTCCAGCTCAAATCCTACCCTCTAGAAAAGGATCCCTGTTCTAAAACGGTCTCCCTGGCTAGCACAGCCTGGAGTAAAGGCCTGGTTCTCTGTGTATATCTAATCCTTCCCGCTTGGCGACTTTTTCTGTACCGAGTCCACTGGGTTCCACTAAGGTGAGCTTTGTCCCTTAAGTTCCCAAATGTGTCTCAGAGTCAGAAACTGCCTTCCATTTCTTGTATCCCTCAGCGCCTAGCACATGGCTGGATATGCAGAAGGTACTAGGTACCAGGAGGAAAGATTCCAGGTGAAGGTGGACAATGGGGAGACCGCAGCTGAGCTGGGAAGTATGGACATCCCTGATTCTCAGGAACTGGGGGCTAGATGAAAAGATGAAACTCACACATCAGGGTAGAGCTTCGATGTTAAGAACAAACTCCTTTTTCACATTTGGTGTCAGAATGAAAGAAACAGCAGGAAATCCTATCAGAAGCAGCCTAGTTGCCTCCAATACATTGCTATACGGTGGCAACTGCATTTAATTTTTCATGTATTTTCTAGAACAACGACAAAAGGATAGCTAATGAAGCAGAATTCATTACAATGCCTTTGTCAAGAGGTTCAGTGAGTGGCAGACTCTGCCCAAGAGCAGAGAGGACTACAGGTCTGATGTGGTCAAAGAGCACCTGTGTGTGAAAGTAAAGGTTTTACTCACTTTCCCTGGGCTTTACTCAGAAAAAGTGTGAAGTGGAAACTGAGTCACATGCCTCCCCCCTCAAAATAACTTTGCCTGCCATCCAACCGTCCTTTTAGAAACATAAGTTTCCATAAAATGATCTACCAGGGTACAGACCAGAGCCCAGAAAAACAGGTTGTAATTAGAGCAGTTGTTCCTGGAACCTTGGGGTTTAGCTGGCCTTGAGAAATCAAGTCACAACAGGCTTCCATGTTGGTATTTGGAGGCATCAGAGGTTGGACTCAAAAGCCCTGAGTTTAAATGTCACCCCCTGTGGTAGGCAGAATAATACCTTCTAAGGATGCATGTCCACATCCTAATCCCAAGAACCCGTGAATATGTTTTGTTACATGGCAAGGGGGAATTAAGGCAGCAGATGAAATTTAGATTGCTAATCAGGTGATCTTAAAGGAGATTATCCTGTTTTGTCTGGGTGGTCCCAATGTGGAATCACTAAGGTCCTTAAATGTGGGACAGGAAAGCAGAATGGTCAGTGTCATAGTGACCCAATGTTAAGAAAGACTTGGCCAGCTATTGCTGGCTTTAAAAATGGGAGGAAGGGGGCATGAGACAAGGAATGCAGATGGCCTCTAGAGGCTGGAAAAGACAGAAATTATTTATCCCCTGGAGCCTCCAGAAGAATTTCAGCCCTGCTGATACCTTTATTGTAGCTCAGTGAGACCCATTTCAGAATTCTGACCTTTAGAACTGTAAGAAAATGAATCTGTGTTATTCAAAGCCACTGAGTATGGGATGATGTGTTACAGCAGCAATAGGAATTTAATACACCCCCTAGAGCAGTATGACATTGTCACTACCTCTGTACCTCAGTTTCCTCCTCTGTAAAATGAGAATAACAACAACAAGCTGTATTTTCCAGGGATGCCGTGGGGAACCAATGAGGTACCTACGGATAGTGCACCATGCAATGTAGGCAGACTCTCAGCCAGCCCAACCACACAAGCAGGGGAGAGCTCTGCAAGGCTGAAAGGAAATGCCTCAGGATAAGACAGGACAACCAGGGGAAGGAGGATGGCAACTCGGACAGGACCAAGGCCATGACCTGAAAAGCAAAGTTTTCTCAAGAGCTGGAGTACTGTCGTTCCCAGTTCTCCCCCAGGCAAAGCCGTGAACCTCAGAACCTGGGTCTTCTGTCACTGACTGTATGACCACGGATAGGTCAACAAACCACTCTTATCCTCAGTTTACCTATGTGTAAAGTGACAAGGCTGGACCCTGCCTTCCCTTGACAAGCTTCCTCACTTACTGAACAGACGCGATGGCCTCCCTTTGAGGGGCCAACCTGGAGACCTCCCAGTCAGTGAGCCCCACGTTGCACCAAGCTCTCATGCCCACTGCACCCACACTATCGGCATGACCAAAATCCCCTGGGCTTCAGATCCAACGCCGAGAGCACAGAGAGGCAGCAGGGTCACCACGTGCGGCTCTCAGCCGTCCAGCAGGGACACCAGCAGGCTCCCCAGGAAGAGGCAGACAGGCAGGTCCATTCTAAAGGTGTGGCCCTGTGCTTCCCCGGGTGCTTTAGCTGCACCACAGGCGAGGCTGTGCATGCCTGTACTAGTAACGATCTAGGCACCTCATTTCAGTAAGCAAACCCCTGTGCTGAGAACCAGGGACATGCAATTGGACCTGGTCCAGGACACAGATACTACAAGAGTGAAAGGCCTTGGAATGTCAGAAGAAAGTCAAATATGTTGCTAACCCTAGGATATGGTGAGCTGTTAAATGAACAGAAACAGAGAATTAGGCAAAAACAAAACAAAACAAACCTAGAGTAAATGACATAATGGGCCACTATTGGTCCTGGCTGGAAATGCCCCAGTCCCCCCTTGCCAGGATCCCTTCCTCAGAACAGATCCTCAAATGCACTCACCTCTCGACAGAGGAAACAGCCTGGCCTCCGCACAGCCATAATCACAGCTCCATTATTTTCCCAGAGCGCCTTTGCTTTAAAAGTCACTGGTTCTGAGGAGAAGAAAAGGGAATTCAGTATCATTTCCTCTCAGCCTGGCCCCAACTTCTAAGCACCTCATAAACAGCACCAGGCCAAACAGAGGACCTGCAAAACTATTTCACATGTGGGAAAAAGCAAAAAGGAAACACGTATAGGGAATATTCATCTTTCCAAGGAAAATGAATCCAGTGTAAGGGTCCTACTATATAACCAGAAGGCCCCTCCCCCATAAAAATCTAGCTGTGAACTTGAACATCTCAAACTGGAACAGTTCTGGAAAAATAGCATATTCCTTTGCTGGTCTCAGTGTAACTTGTAACAATCCTTTAGGGCAGATACATGGCCAAAACTTGAACGAGATCTTGCACTTTGGCCAAGAAAACCCCAATTCTTAAAAAAGTATTCAAAGAAATTAGGTCAAAAGAAATTAAAAACAAAAAACAATTTAACCTAAATATGTTAACTGCACCGTTATCCATAGGATAGGGCAGAAGATGTCCAACAAGGAAATTCTTTGGGTAGCGGAGTAGCGTAGCTCAAGCCCGGCTCCAGTCACACTGAGTCCGCATCTAGGTGTGACCCGGGGCAGGCTGTATCTCCTCCCTGAACCTCCACTTCCCCATTTGTAAATGCAGATGCCTAGCAGCTCCACTTTGGGCCACAGGGAGTATTAACAGATGGATATAAAAGTGCTCTCCAGGTAATACAGAGTCAGTGAGGGCTCAATAAGTACTATCCCTTATTATTTTAGCATTTCTCAGAGGAATCCATGTCCCTATGGGATGTTACATAGGAAAAAAAAGAAGGTGGGAGGGGACTGAAATCAAATGACACTGGGAAACTCTGGGTCGAACACAGCTAAATAGGACTCTCTCTGCAGGGCTTCTTAGTCCCTTACTGAGGTGACCTACATCATAAATCTGCAGTCACAGTTCCTGCCTTCCCTTGACAAGCTTCCTCACTTACTGAACAGACGCGATGGCCTCCCTTTGAGGGGCCACCCTGGAGACCTCCCAGTCAGTGAGCCCCAAATTGCACCAAACTCTCATGCCTACTGCACCCACACTATCGGCATGACCAAAATCCCCTGGGCTTCAGATCCAACGCCGAGAGCACAGAGAGGCAGGAGAGTCACCACGTGCGGCTCTCAGCCGTCCAGCAGGGACACCAGCAGGCTCCCCAGGAAGAGGCAGACAGGCAGGTCCATTCTAAAGGTGTGGCCCTGTGCTTCCCCGGGTGCTTTAGCTGCACCACAGGCGAGGCTGCCCATGCCTGTACCAGTAACGATCCAGGCACCTCATTTCAGTAAGCAAACCCCTGTGCTGAGAACCAGGGACATGCAATTGGACACAGTGTTTCTCAAATTTATTGGACTCAGGAGCTCCTGTTTTTGAAGATCCAGGAGCCTGGAATTCCTCAGAACACACTCTGGAAGGTTTGGTTGAGTAAACAGTGGTACAATTTCACTAAATATTATGGAACGATTATCATTATATTTAGAGAGACAACATGAGAAGATGAAAAATGCTTTTGATAAGAAAAAACTAATACTCAGCCATAAAAAGAAACGAAACTGAGTTATTTGTAGTGAGGTAGATGGACCTAGAGCCTGTCATACAGAGTGAAGCAAGTCAGAAAGAGAAAAATACCACATGCTAACACATATATATGGAATCTTAAAAAAAAAAAAAAGGTTCTGAAAAACCTAGCGGCAGGACAGGAACAAAGATGCAGACGTAGAGAATGGTTGAGGACACGGGGAGGGGGAAGGGTAAGCTGGGACGAAGTGAGAGAGAGGCATGGACATATATACACTACCAAATGTAAAATAGATAGCTAGTGGGAAGCAGCCACATAGCACAGGGAGATCAGCTTGGTGCTTTGTGACCACGTAGAGGGGTGGGATAGGGAGGGTGGGAGGGAGACGTAAGAGGGAGGGGATATGGGGACATATGTGTACGTATAGCTGATTCACTTTGTTATACAGCAGAAATTAACACACCATTGTAAAGCAGCTATACTCCAATAAAGATGTTAAAAAAAAAAAAAGAATAGATTTTATCTCTTAAAAAGAAAAGAAAAAGCTAAAATGTAAAAGATCAATGTATAAGTACACCAAGATCATAACTACATATTATTACGTGTACACCTGGAAAAATACGTGTGAAAATAAAAAAGATTATTGTGTTAGGGTAATGGAATTATCAGTAATTCTTAAAGTGTTACTAAATTTTTCCTAATGTTATATTGCCTTTTCAATTTAAAAAAAAAAAAAAAGAACTACTTTCAGAGAGAAAAAAACTAAGTAAGCCTGCATCCCAGCATCTTGGAAAAGTACTGACACCAGTGGAGTCACTGCTTACCCTTCTCCAGTGTTTTCAGGTCTATATCCTCCAGATACTCCAGCGTGGCTTTCTGGGGCTTGGGCAGAAATACGTCTGTGTTGGCCAGGAGCAGTGCCAAGGCAGCAGCCCCTATGGCCCCCGCACCAATGGACCACATTCCCATGGTGAAGAAGCTTGGATCCTGGAGGAAAGACATTTCTGGGGATTGAGAGAAAGGAAGACGACGTTACTGCTCCCACAGGACAGCCGGAATCCGATCTCCCAGACAGCAAGGCTCTGGCTGGGCAGCCAATCAGGGGGCCAGAGGCAAAGGGAAGAGAAGCAGCAGTGTCAGAGATGGGACTGGACAAGGGCTGCCAACTGAGCCCCTGCCCACCTGCCACTAGAGGAGCCTGGGAATACAACAGACACGTGGAGGTTCCTGCCCCAGGGAGCTCACTAGTGGGTCAGCAGCCACGACAGAGGCGACAGCCTCTCTTGCGGCTCCCTCTCCCTTGCTCAAGGCTGTGGCCTCCCAGCTTGGTGGCGCTCCTCCAGGCTGTGTCACTGCCCTCCTCATCAATGTCTGCTCTCTTCCTTCACAGTGCAGGAGTGGCAGGTCCCACCCCCCTGGGGAGGCAGCAGCCTCTCTGTCTGATTAGATCACTTAGAGACCAACCACCCTGTTGTAACCCTACCCTTCCTCCTCGCTGTGAATCCCTCAGACACAGAGACCAGGTCCTATTCATCCAGCCCCCAGACAGTGCCCAGCAGGGCCTCACTCGAAGTAGGCAGGCAATCCCAGTACATTTCTCCAACTGAGAATACCTTTATTTTCTACTCATTATACAAATAAAACAGGCTCATGGTGAAAACAAAACAAACCACCAAAAAAGAAGCAATACATAAAACCACAGTTGACAAGAAAGCAAATATCCTCTCAACATCTACCACCTATTAAGTTATACAGTTTAATAGAGATGGCCACTATTAGTCTGACATTTTTCCCCTGTGAACAGAATTATACAGATGCCTGTCCAGTGAACAGGTAGAGAGACTGAGAGAGAAGGCAACATGTAAGAAAGAGCACGGTGCTGGGGTGTCTGCTTCAGAGGACTGGGCAACAGACAGTCTGCATTGGGCAGGGGGCTCTGTAGTTGAAACGGAGGACAAGGCAGGTCCTATAGCATCCGGCCTCCTCCCCAGCTCATGCTTGGGGGCCTCGCCAAGGCTTCCTCTAGTTGGGAAGCCTTGTGCTTCTGAGTGGGAGCTCCTGGAAGCAGCCCACCCCTGTAACCGCAGCAAGTACCCCACCCAACCTTCGTTTCTTGACAACCACTTACAATACCTATCTTTCCATCTGGCCCTCTCGCCGTCCTAGGATCTGACTTACGCCGGAGCCTTCCTCCCCAAGTACCTGCACGACTCTATGTGCTCGGATCACTGGGTACCGACCTGAGGTGTGTGTCTATGTGTATGTGTGTGTGTGGCCCACCTGACCTCATCCCACCTGACCAAAGGCTTAATTCTCCCCTGCAGGACTTGACTCAGGAGAGGACCTCTCCAAAGGATTAAGCAAAGGCCCAGAAATCCGCATGTCACTGCCAAGGGAGGGGGCTGTGAGGGATCCACTGCCATGAGGTAGGGTTGGGAGTAACTTGGTGGTGATAACTTTGGGAAGAAAAGGGTAGGCCAGACTAGTGTTTAGGCCAGCCCGGGAAGTTCAGACTTGAGTTCAGAAATAAAAGGGAACTTTCAGACCGGGGATTTGGAGTGTGTACTGGGAATGACCAAATGAAAATAGCCTTTAAGAATGAGGAATTTGGCATCTGTACACTAGGGGAGAGGAAAAAGAAGGGGACTCTGTGTGTGTTGGGGGAGGAGGAGGTGAGCTAGGAAAGAAGAGTTTCTTATAACCTCAAAACGTGCTCTCGTGCGCCGGCAGCACTGGCATCGTGGAGAACCGCAGAATTTCCAGCCTTACCTCAGAGCTAAAAAATCGTAACCGGCATTCATCAGACACGGCAGGCAATTCACAGGCACATAAAAGTTTCAGAAGCATTGTCTTGGAACAAAGAATTCAGGTTTTGTGGTTGGTTGGCCATAAGCCACAGAACAAAGTACAGCCGTGAGGGCAGGCTGGCCTTGGAGAGCTGGGCCTTCCTCAAGGGCCAGCTTCTGTTTCCTCAGCTCATTGTGTGAGGGCAGCCACGGAGACAACGAGAGTCAAAAACCAGGGCAGAACTCCACGCCTCTGCCCGGAGTATCTTTCCTCATTCGCTCTATTCTGCATGACTCAGACGCCTCTTCCAGGGGTCTTCTTGGGTGCTCTGCCTACCCCCCGTCCCCCAAGAGGGGATTATTCACCCCCACCTGTGTCCAAATCACAATGATCCTTCTGATTTGGACCTGTTTTCAAGTTTCCTCTCTTTTGCCTCTTCCTCAGTTTATCTCTGAATTCCCCCGTGCCCAGCACAGGGTCTGTTTGTGGTCCACAGTGGGCTCTCCATAAATGTGTGCTAAAATGAATTCAGTAGGATTGAGTGATGAAAATGATGACTTATGGAGGACCGAAGCACTTGGGCAAAGCAGGAAAGAACGTTCCTCAGGCCAGCTTCCAGTTCTTTTATGTGTCAGAGTTACACATCATACTGCATTATAGTTCACAGAACAATCAGGAGGAAAACCACAGCTCTCACCTGCCTGCTGTAAACAGGAGATTCCCCAGAGCCTGGAACAATTTCTGTACCTTGACGCACTTCCAAAACCTCCCTGGACTGCTGACATGTGTATATGATTAAGGCCCACATGGCACGGTCTCTGATCACAGATTTGCTAACATTTCTGCATCAGTTCGCAAAGGCCAGCTTACACCTACCCTCCAAAAGGACTCACTTCAATTCCTGGGACACATCAGAGCGTTGCAGGAAGTCCAGGGACCCTTCCAGTCAGCTCCACACCCTTCTAACACACCACTGGCTGTTTTTGGAGGCAAACAGGCTCCGGCTCCCCACTGCCCATCAATAGCCATCGAGCCTGTTTGCTCGCGAGCACAAGGGAATCAGACTCAAACAGACTCAACATTTATTTCCAAACATTTATTCAGCACTGACCTGTTTAATAATGGCAGTTTGGGATGACATAAAACTAAATGATAAACAGTCCTCAAGGAGATACAGGCCTAGTACACAGATAACAGAAATTCAAGTGGAAAGGTATGAACACGGGGCTAAGGCAGTGCAGCGGTGAGGACCAGTTATGTCTGGTCTGGGCAGCCGTAGAAGCACCCAGAAGGAAATGGCTTTGGAGCAGGCATAGGATTCAGAGAGCAGGATGGAGCAGCTAGGCCAGGCTTGGGCTCGATAAGCCTGAGAAACAGCGGACTGGCGGGGGTGAACGTCCCAAAGGCGCCCCGACACCCTACCTCAAGTTCACAAGCCGGAGCACAAGATGTGGGCTTCAAAAGCCCCAGGAGCATTGTTTAGCACCCCACCCCCCGCCTCCAGCTGTGATCCAGAAAGCATAAGCACAGAGTGACCCCTTTGGGGAGCTTGGCCCGGGACCTCAGGCCCCGCAGCACTGAGATGTGAGAGCATTATCAGCACCAGAGGTGAGAGGCTTGGCCTCTCCGTGAACATATACTCCCAGCGGGCCTCTAGGAGCTGCCTCTTCTGCCACTGGGAAGCAGTGAAAACTGACTTCTGGAAACACCTAGACAGTGTATAGATCCGGCCTCTCAGCCAAGCCCCCCTGAGCGGCAAAGCAATTCCCATCCCAGCATGTCTTTGGAGCATGTGCCATGCAACTCGCTGGCTCTGAATCCTGCATCACAGCGATTCCCACCCACAAAAAAGGACTGGAGGTAGCAGGAAGCTTAATATCTACACGGAACAATGCATTTTCACACGGGCCTCTAAGGCTACTAACTGGAGAGATAGGGAGGCCGGTAAACGAGCACGCACTTAGCGCCACTCGAAATGCGTGCTTTAATTTCACACAGTCGTATGATGCAGATAGTATCCTGTTATGCAGCTGACAACACTGAAGTTCAGAGAAGTTCAGTACCTTTTCCAGTGTCACAGAGCCAGCAGGACAGTGCTGCGTCCTGGACCCAGATCACTAGGACCCCAAAGCCTGTAGTCTTTCTACTCCACAGGCCTCCCCACACGTTCACTGGTGGGTTTCTGGAGGTCAAGAGGCATGATCCCTTTTGTCTTAAAAGAGAATTTTAAATGATCAACCTATTTTTTTTTTCAATCATCACATACAGTCAAACCATGTTTATTCTAAAGGAAATGTACCCTGTGACAGATGTCCCTTCTCTTTCCTCCCCTCTCTATCCCCTTCTGTTAAGGAAAGGGTCAGTTTCTCTGAAAGATAATAGCAAGGCTGTTTACAGAAGAGCCAGCCGCCACCTGACACAGCCATAGTATTCGGTTCCCCACTGTGGCACTTATCTGATCAGGTCTCTCCCACAGAAGAACGTGAAGCGTGATAAGACCACAAACAAGCAACAGCTGGGGCGGCTCAGAGTGGCAGCACTGGTCTGGGATAAGTGTCTCGGGGCAGGAGACCCGGCTGGGCTCCCCAGGCCCAGCTGGCTTGATCCCTCCCTCAGCCTCATTTTCCTCAACTCCAAAATGAGGGGGTTGGATGGCAAAACTTCTAAAGCACCCAGTGACATCGTGGGATTCTATCAAAAACAGCTCACTTTGGAGCCGGCACATTCTCGGTTCCTCATCACAACTCTACCCCACCCCACCCCCATTTCAATTTCCAGAGTGTTTCTTCCCCGCTGCCCAGAGCTTCACAAGGCACCTCCCCTCCCCCACACATGGTCCCTCATCCCCAACCTCGGGCACCAGACACTCACCATCCGCAGTGCACACACCCTGGCTTCTGCTGACCCACGGGGAGCAGGCAGCAGGGCAGGGCTGGAGGTGTGGGGCTCTGGAGTCCCGCCTATGGCCCTAAGCTCACTCCATTGGCAGGACCAGGCCACCCAGAAACCCTGGGGCTCCTTCAGCTGCGGACAGTCAATCTCCAGAAAACATCAATATGGACAGCTGCCAAGATCCCCTAGCCCTTCAAAACGTTGAGCAAATGTTGAGTCATTTGCAGTCACGCAGATTATAACATTTATCAAGCGCCAACAGACTCCCTCTCTGCTTTCCCGGGCAGGCTAATGAAGCGAAGCCCTTAATGTGGCCCTTAATGCA